AATCTTTATTTATTTTGTATTTTTTTTTCACTCACTGGGGTTTTTGTTGAGGGTGCTAGCTCCCCCCCCCAGCCCCCGCGCCTTGGTGGTGCGGGGCTGGGGAATTCTGGGAGTTGAAGTCCACCCATCTTAAAGTTCCCGAGGTTGAGAAACACTGCTTGCCCACTAAATCAGATGTTGCTGGTTTGAAACCCAGCATTAATTTATTTCATTATTACATTTTCTTCCTAAGCTTCCTCCTCCTCCTTTTGCTTTACTGCATTTTTGAGAAAAAGTGCAGTTTCAGCCTTTTCCCGGTCCCCTAAAATGGACCTGCGGTGTTCTATCTTGCCTCCGATGCTTGCAAACATCAATACGGAGCCTTGCATGGAGGCAATTCAGAAAGAAGGAGTTGGGTGCGGCTCTACTGCAGTTTCCCTTCTAAATCAAAGAAGCAGCCAGTGCCCCTGAAAGTTGCTTAACGAGAGAAAACAAGTGAAATTACATCTAAAGAAGCTGGAGGTGGTTTTGGTAAGGGAGAAACTTGACTTGAGGAATAATGAGAAGTTTGCTCTGGAAGGCTCTTCAATCCCCAGATGTCACTGGACTTGCAAATGGTGATTGTGGCAAGGAGCACTTTTGTACACGGAACAACTAGTATATCAATTGTGACCCAGGCCAAATTTAGTGACAGGTACCGCACTTCGATTGCAGCTTGTTTTGGGTTGGAGACAAATCTGTAGCTTGTGGATTTCCATCCCATCGGTGACTTACAAGTTTTCTCTCCTTTCTCAAGACGAACTTTGTTCTGTCTGTTCGAGCAGAAGAGTTTCCAAAATTTTATTTTGTGGATCCACAATTTTCTGCCACGTGGAGGACCCTAATCCCTTCAGGATAGGGGACATTCCCTGGCCAGGGGCCTAAAGCAGCTTTGCATGGTGGGCACTGTAGTTCAGAAGCAGTAGAATGGAGAAGACAACAATGAAATTTACACAGGGTTAATGTGATTCCTTTCCAATTAATATTTCACACCCAGTGGGAAAAAAGAAACATGAAACAAAAATACAAATATTAAAAAAGAACCCTAGTAATTGCCAGGTGAGAACAGTATGAGATTTCTTTCTAGAAGGTTTCAGTCTCTTCAAAATTAATACTGATTGTGATTTATTTTGTATCTTTTTCTTTCTGTTATAAATTCATAGCTCCCTAAAGATGTACTCCCATCTATTCTGTGAAAAACAAACCAATGAAATACAGGTAGTCCTTGCTTACTGGCTGCCTTGTTTAGTGACTGAAGTTACAATGGTGTAAAAAAACAGCTTTGAGACCAGTCCTTGCATTTATGAACATTGCAGTGTCCCATGGTCATGGGATCGCCATTTGTGTGCTTCACAACTGGTTCTGACAAGCACAGTTAATGGAGAACACACAAGTAAAATTGCAAGTCTCAGTCACGTGATGTCTTGTTTAACGACCATGGTGGTTTGCTTAACGACCGAATGGGAAGTGATGTCGTAAGCCCGGTGCTGTCATGTGATTTTCCGCTTAGCAACTGCAATGCTTAGTGACGGACTTGCCAGCAATTGTTGTTGCTAAGCAAGGATTACCTGTAATTGCCTTGAATACAACCATTATTGGTTGAATTAGGAGACAAACAAAGACCAGGGATGGACGGATCTGAGCTCTTTGGAAGATATGCAGGTATGGAAATAGTAAGGAGCATTGATTCTGTTGCCAAGCATGGAACAATTCTTCACAGCCATGTAAAAGTGACAGTGCTTTTACTGGGAGAAAACAATAGCGGTATAACATTTATTTCCCCCATCCACTCTAGGTGATTTGTGTCTAGGCACAAGGATGAGGCTGCAAACATTGCTGTCCTAATTTATGGTTAAGAGAGGTATTGGCAGATTTCTCTGACCGGTTCCCGGCCTTTCCACTGAAAACATCCACCGATCCTTCTTAAAAGTGCAGTAAGTTTTGATGCCACGTTTAGCCATCTGTCAAAATTTGCTCTGGTTCTGTGCAAGGGTTTTGGGTGGGTGCGCTCAGAGGGAGCTCAAGCATCAGCTGTCATCAGGATACAAGAGTCATAAATGTGAGATGGGCGGCTATAGAAATCTAATAAATGAATGAATGAATGAATGAATAAATAAATAAATAAATAAATAAAATCAAGTTAGTTCTGTGGCTCGGGTGGGCTAAACGCATATTCAAAAGCAGCCTGAGGGAGCATTGTACACTTAAGCAGAAAGAGGCCGACTCTCTACCAATTCACAGTGTTCCCCCACTCCGTAGCAATGCTGGTCAGCTGCTGTTCAGGCCGATCCTGGTTCTTGGCTCAGTGGTTTGGCATCTGTAGGGGACAGTCCAGGTTGGGAAAAAAAAGATGAACTTTCCCACTGCTCAAAGCTGATTAGCCAGGAAACAGAATGCCTGGGAACTGGAGGAGGGAGGATATACGTACCTACATCAGTGTGAAGTGGCCTATCAACCTATCATGAGGTAGACCAGTTCAAGAAATACACTCCATGAAAGACTAAAATTATTTTGATTTTAAGATAAGCTATAGTAACAGAAACTTGCAAGTCTGATTATACTTTACCTCCTCCTCCTCTTATACTCTTGTGAATTAGGAGGGTGTCTGCCTGGGACATTTTTGCATACCTTCTTCATGATTTGGGCTTAAGCCATGTTTTCTTCCTCATTGCTTTGGCAATGATCTCCCCTCTCTCCATCAAGGTCTTCCTCTTTATCCTCTACACGGCCAATAGGGCCAAGCTGTTTCCAACCCCAATGAGTCATCTGACTGTGATGCCAACTGAATGGCTGATAAAATACTTCTGTATCCCCCCACCTCAAAACTGCTGGAGTTTATTGCTTGCTTAAAGGGGGGAAAACACTACTTCAACACCGAAAAAGCTAAAGATGGTTTTAAACTGCCTCAGGTGTGGGTGGGGGATGAGATGAAGGCTACATCATGAGGCCAGAATAGAAAAAAGAGGATGCCACATTTTTGTGTTTAGATGCAAGTGGAGAAAATAATCTCCTTTTTTCAATGAGATTTTTAGCCCATTTCTCCTTCAGTCCAGAGCAAACTTCTCACCCTGTACAAATCACCAATTTCTGTGGAAGCAAGAACACAAACTGAGCTACTTCTTGGATACAGGTAGTCCTCGCTTAATGACCACAATAAGGCCTGGAAAATTTGTTGTTAAGCAGGGTGGTTGATAAGCAAGTAGCGGCAGATTTTACAATCTTTCTTGCAGCAGTCATTAAGCAAATCACTGTGGCCGTTAAGTGAATCACACAGTCATTAAGCGATTCATGCAGCTCCCCATTGAATTTGCTTGCTGGAAGCCGGCTGGGAAGGTCACAAATGGTGATCACGTGACCCTGGGAGACTGCAACTGTTGTAAATGTGAGCTGATTGCCAAGTGCTGAGATTGCGATCACATGATTATGGGGGTGCTGCAATGGTTATAAGTGTGAGGACCGGTTGTAAGTCCCTTTGTTCAGCACTGTTGTAACTTTGAACTGTCCCTAAATGAATGGTTGTTAAGTGAGGATTACCTGTAGTTTGATTTGATTTGATTTATTATAGTTTTGTCGTGTCTTATTTTATTTTATTATTTGAGACCAACATACAAGCAGGGAAATTATTTATAGGGTTTTGGCCTGATGATGTGACAGACACATCTGGAATTGTCTTCACTTTATTTAATGATTACTCTATGCTCCCCGGGGTGAACTTCATCTCCAAACCCTCATGAATGACTGCACGTGTATATGAACTGTCATACTCAATGTCTGCTTTGGAAACACTCAATTTGGTAAGCAGGAGATGGATATTCTCATTCTCTTTCAAAGCTGTGCGGTTGACATCGATA